AAAAAAAAAAAAAAAAAAAAAAAAAAAAAAAAAAAAAAAACCAACTGCCAGCCAAGAATACTATACCCAGCAAGGCTATCCTTCAGGGAAAAATAGTGTATTTCCCAGACAAACAAAAAACTGTGAGAGTTCATCATCACACAACCAGCTCTGCAAGAAGTCCTCAAGGGAGTCCTACATCTGGAATCCAAAAAACAGTAATTACTGGTACAAATAAACAAGAAAGAACAAAACCCACTAGTTATACAAAAATGCAAATGAGAAAGAGAAAGAAAGAAACTTAATCTTACCACCACAAAAAAACAAAATGACAATGAAATAAAAGCAAACAAACTCTCAATCTCTTTGGAAGACGACAGGGAAACAACTCATTTTTCTAAAACTAGTAGGTAGAAGGGGAGAGTCACGCACATTTATCCTGTCTTTTTTATATGAATTGTTCCTCAGGGTAACTATAAATAGCTGACGAGGAAACATTTTAGTCTAGTGAAGTATCTCAGCTAGTAAATAAAGAGGGAATAAAATAATTAGAATATGATATTTTGCAAATTCCTATTGAAACAATGGACCTAGCAAATGATCATCAATGTCTGCTAATGTCACAGGGAGAAGATCAGACACAATGGGCCTCCTGCAGTGAAAACATATATGTCTGAAGCCAAATCTAACCTGAGTGAGACCAAGCCTCGGAATTCAGCAACCAATCACCAGGAAATGCAGGGGACAGCAGAACATGTTAAATGACACTACCGGGATGCAGCCAGCAAATCCAGACCTTGGGAAACTCTATGGGGTAAAGGAGAAATATTAGATGAAGGGGTACCCTATAGATTAAAAGAAACTTAAGAGACAGCTAACATAGCAATCAATACAAGAAGAAGAACTTTTGTGGATGTAAACAAATCAATTGTAAGAAAGAAAGGGAAGGGGAGAAAACTGGAGAAATTTCAACATGTTTAATATCAAGGAATTATTATTGATTTTAAAAATGTGAAAAAAAATTTGAGTAACTGGCATCTTACTAGCTATAGTTCTGTTCAAACTCTGTTTTTTCATAATTCAGTCTTAGTAGGTAGTGTGTTTCTATGAATTTATTCATTTCATCTAGATGATCTAATCTGTTGACCAACAACTATTCTCTTATAATCTCTTTGATTTCTGTAAATTTGGTTGTAATGACCCCTCTTTCACTTCTGATTTTAGTCATTTGAGTCTTCTCTGTTTTTTCTTAGTCCTTTTAGGTAAAGATTTGTCAATTTTGTGGACCTTTTCAAAGTACCAACTTTTGGTTTTATTGATTTTCTCTCTTTTTTTTCTATTTTCTATTTTATCTATGCTCTAATTTTTAGTATTTACTTCCTTTGGTCTGAGCTTAGTTTGTTCTTCATTTTCTAGTTTTTTTTTTTAATTTATTTTATTCATTGAATCAAAATCGATTATACATATTTTGTGAGTTGAACATTGAGATATGCTGATTAAATCAATATTACTAGCATATATATTGTTACAAATCATAATTATTCTTTATGCCCCTTGTCCAATCTCTCCCCTTTCCATTTTCTAGTTTCTTAAGGTGTAAAGGTGATTGCTGATCTTCCTTTTTTTATTAATGTATGTATTTACATTAAGTAAGCTTTCCTTTTAATTGTGCTAAAAAAATTTTTTTAAATTATTTCTTTGGGCTCTGGTCAAGATGGTGGAATAGATGGTCCCCAGTGTCACTCTCTCCCATAAATCAACCAATTTACTTCTATAAAAAAGTAATGACAGCCAAGCTGGGACCACTAGAGGTCAGGGGAAGAGGAGGAGAGATCTATGGAGTTCATGAAGGCAGAAGACACTATGAGAGAAAGAAAAAATCGCTCTGTTTTGAGTCCTGGCTGCACACAGGCTGGAGCTGCTGAGTGCACAGAGAGGGAGCCAGTAAAAGCTGCAGCTGTGCCCTTCGGATGAAGTTGCTTGGAGGTGGCAGGGGAGAAGAGAGACTTGGTGGCCCCCAGGCCAGCATGGCCACTAATAGGGTTCCCCTGGACCCACACAGGAGTGAAGAGCCACAACATCTGAAAAAAAGGAGCCACTCAGAGGCTGGTGAGTTATCGCAAGGGACCAGTGCATGGCCCATCCCTTGGGAAATGTTTGCAGCATGGACAGTGGGGGAGATGGGAACACTGGGGCACAGCAAGGACAGCTGATCTGCCCTTCAATCAGCACAGGACCACTCAGAGGAGACTGGTCAGGAATATAGAATTGCACGGGGTGAAAAGACTCAGGCCCAGACCAGAGTTTCTATACAACCCAGGTGCACAAGATCTCATGAGAGCCGGAAGTACCTATAAAGTCAACCATTAAACCCTGAGCTGCACGAAGCTTCCGTAGGGAATCAGCAGCAAAGCAGCAATTTAGCTAAACCACAGAGCTCAAGTACTGGTCCTCACAGGAAGTTCCCCCATTTTAGAAGGAAGCAAAGGACAACAAATTAGTTCTAGCACAGAGTTTAAATGAAGGGAACAGCAAATAATCCAACACAGAAATGAAAGAAAAAAAAAAGTACCTGCAACCAGAGACCAAGTTTGATATTAACCAGTAAAGGTCTCATTTCACCAAAGAACACCTATAACACCTAGAAGGACAGGAAGTCCCCTGGGCTACCAAGCCAGAAAAGGGGGAAGGCCGGGGGCCTTGACCATGCCCTCCTGACACCTGCAGCCAGCCCAGCGGCAACAACTGAGCCGCTGCAGGAAGCACCGCGGGCTCTCCCAAGCCAGGACTGTGGAGGGCCCAGGGCTTTAGCCTTGCCCTCCCGACATGTGCAACCAGCCCTGTAACAACCACCAAGCTGTAGCAAGAAGGGCCCCAGGTACCCAAGCTACCCAATCTAATGATTCTTTGTATTACTGTGGTATCAGTTGTAATGTCTCCTTTTTCATTTCTGATTTTCGTTATTTGGGTCTTTTCTTTTTTTAGTTAGTCTGGCTAATGGCTCATCTATTTTGTTCATCTTCTCAAAAACCAACTTTTTTTTCATTGATCTTTTATAGTGTTCTTTTAGTGTCTATTTCATTTAGCTCTGCTCTGATCTTATTTCTCTCCATCTACTAATTTTGGGATTGGATTGTTCTAACTTTTCTAGTTCTTTGAGGTGTAACATTAGGGTGTTTATCGGAAGTTTTTCTATTCTTTTGATGTAACCATTTATTGCAATAAAATTCTCTCTTAATACTTCTTTTGCAGTATTCCATGGGTTTTGGTAAGGAGTGCTTGTATTTTCATTTGTTTCAAGGAATTTTTTGATTCCCTGCTTTATTTCTTCTTTGACCCATTTGTCATTCAGGAGCCTGTTGTTTAATTTTCATGTATTTGTATAGTTTCCAAAGCTTTGTTTGTTGTTAATTTCTAATTTTATTCCATTGTGGTCTGAAAATATACTTGATATGATTTTAAACTTTTAAAATTTGTTGAGAATTAATTTGTGGCCTAACATGTCAATCCTGGAGAACGACCCATGTACTGATGAGAAGAATGCATATTCTGCAGTTCTTGGATGAAATGTTCTTTATATGTTTGCCAAGTCCATTTGGTCTAAAGTGGTGTTTAAATGCAATATTTCTGTGCTAATTCTTTGTCCAGATCATCTGTCCAATGCTGACAGCAGTGTGTTAAAGACCCCAACTACTGTTCTGAGGGGTGTGCATCTATCTCTCCCCTTAGATCCAATAACAGTTGCTTTATACATCTGGGTGCTCTGGTGTTGGGTGCATATACATTTATGACTGTTATTTCTTCTTGCTGCAATGATCCTTTTATCATTGTCCTTTTTTGTCTCTTTTTACAGTTCTTGGTTTGAAGTCCATTTTATCTGATATAAGTATGGCAACTCCTGCTCTTTTTTGGCTTCCATTTGCATGGAATGTCTTTTTCCATCCCTTCCACTATTAGTCTATATGTGTCTTTATTGGTGAAATGAGTTTCTTACAGGCAATATATAGTTGGGTCTAGCTTTTTAATCCATTCAGCCAGTCTATATCTTTTAAGTGGGGATTTAATCCATTGACATCGAGGGTTATTATTGAAAGGTATTGCCTTGTTCCTGCCATTTTATTAAATTCTTTTCGGTTGTTTCATATTTCTTTTGTTCTTTTCTTTCCCTTTTATTATCTTTGCTGTTTTGTGTTTTTAGTAGTGATAAGACATATTTTCTTTCCCTTTCTCATTTGTGTATCTGTTTTAGGAGTGGTTTTTGAAGGCAGAGACTCTTTTCTATATTGGTAGTTGGGTTGGGTGTTTTAAGCTTGGATCTGGGAGAGTGTAGTAGTGCAGGCTTTACATGTGTTTTAATCTTAAAGGTGTAATTAAGCTAAAACTATCCCCATCCTTGGTAATTAGTTTTATAATTCTCAAAACATTTATGTGAAATCAATCCCATAAAAATTGCCTAATACAAATTCCACAGAGATCATTTAAATTATCAACCATTCCTTTACCATTTGAATGATTCTAAGTTACATTTCATCATAAATTTCAGAAATGATGTATTTCAATTATTTTTTAATCAGATGTGTACAAAACATTCTGATATGAACTTAAGGACATTTTAAAGTTTAATTTAATATACAATGTATATCAATTACAAATTTAAACTAACACAATTTTTTTCTATTAGGACTCTTTTGGAAATGAAACTCTATCCTATGACTGAGATAGTCATTTTTCTGCTTGATTAAGAAATAATACTTGTTTGCTGAGATGTGAATAAGAAATATACATAAAGAAAAGTACCTTAAGGCAGATATTTTTAAAATTCTATGCAAAGGGAAATATATTTACCACAATAGAGACCAAGTAAAATGAAACAAAATACAAGAAAATGGAAACAATTCATAACGTTCATTAATATCTTTTAAACTTACTATATCTATCAGATACTAATTCTAGGGATTAAAAAAAAAGCCCACACAAGACATTAACTAAACATAAAACCCTAATAATTACTTACTGTATAAGAGAAGCTCTTTCAAAGTACTGAATGGCTTTTTCACAAAACTGGGTATCAATGTAATAGGCTCCGAGCCACTCAATGACTTCAATATTAGAAGGGAAATACCTATATGACTGGAAAAAATATCGAATGTGAAAATACAACTTCAGTGGCAATGTATACTTTACTTTTGAAATACTTTACCTGTTGAATGGATTAATTTACCCAATGTGAAATTTTTTAATAAAAAAGTACGAGCTGTCATAAGTATAGTCACATGTCACTTAAGGATGGGGATACATTCTGAGAAACACATCATCAGGTGATTTTGTCATTGTGTGAACGTAAGAATGCACTTGCACAACCTAGATGGCATGGCCTACTACATACCCAGGCTATATGGTAGTCTATTGCCCCTAGGCTATAAACCTGCACAGCATATTACTGTACTGAATACTGTAGGCAACTATAAAATAACAGTAAGTACTTGTGGATCGAAACATAGAAAAGGTAATGCCTTGTGCTACAATGTTATGACGGCTATGACATACTGACACTAGACAGTACGTTTTTCAGCTCCCTATGGGACCACTGTCATGTACACAGTCCGTCATTGACTGAAACATTGTTATCCAATGCATGACTGTTCTTCACAAGTTTTAAAACTATACAAGATTTAGGGCTGGCTTGTGGCTCACTCAGGAGAGTGTGGTGCTGATAACACCAAGGTCTTGGGTCCAGATCCCGTATAGGGATGGCCGGTTTGCTCACTGGCTGAGCGTGGTGCTGACAACACCAGGTCAAGGGTTGAGATCCCCTTACCGGTCATCTTTAAAAATAAATAAATAAATAACTATACAAGATTTAGAAAACTTAAGCTTTATTTGACACATTTTCCAATTATTTATAAATATCTTTTTTTATATACTGATATATAATCTGAGTTAAACATCTAAAAGAACCAAAAAGGAATGCATACCACGCACGTTTCAAGAGAAAAATGAATCTGTACTTTTAATTTCATTTTTATTAAAATTATTCAAAAACTGACTTCACATTCTAAGAATGATTTATTTTATTTTAAATAAATCATTATTTAAAAACTAATTAGATTTTCTAAAGCTTTCAAGGCCTGCTGCCTTCCTATAACAATTCATCCAATGTTAAAAAATAGTAGAAAAGTAAGATAATACACCTACCTCATAGTAATATTGAAATGCTTGCGATTTATCTCCTTCACTGTCATATAATTCTCCTAGTTTAGACAAAGCTCTAGAATCAGTTGGCACAACACTGATCAGTTGCATTAGCCATTCAATAGCTTGACTGGGGTCTTCCATTAATTCATATCTTGGGCAATGTCAGTTAAAGATAACACAATTTTTCTACATTCATTAATCAATAAGCAAACCTAAAAACATTATAATAAAAATATTTCTTAGCCTACAGTAATGTGTCGTGTTGTACTGCTTATTCTTTCTTCAGGGGTGGCGACGGTAAACGAGGCACTACTGTAGCTATCATTCTTGCTCCCCATATATATATATATATATCTTGCTTTTCCTTTTGCTTCATTATGATCCACTAAGATCAATTCCCCAATTTCTAGTAGAATTATTCAAAACACTGTCAAAAATCTGTCATTAAAAGAATTCCCAATGCTGTACTCAATTATTCTGTCTCTCTTCACATGCTCAGCATATTAAAAGAATAGTTTTCATGTGAGTTTTCTCTAATTAGATTATAAGCCCAAGGGAAGGGAGATCTTTTTTTGTAGCTTCCTTTACTACCTAGTAAGTCCTCTGCATACACTCAAATAATTTATTCATACCAATGCTTATTGACTACTTACTTACTATTTATTTTTATACTCAATGTCTCGATGAAATGAAAATATTCCAATACAAAGTTTAACTGAAAAAGAAGTGTCTCTTGTTTTTAATGATGACAAATGTGATACCAAAAGAAAAAAAAATAAAAGTAAGGAAATGTATTCAGCCTCGAACATATCAATTGCTTGATTGGATCCAAGCTGATCATGAACTAGGCAGTATCAGATCATGATGCTGGAACTTTCACAGAAATTAAATGGATTAAAAAAACCCAAAAAGACTAAGAGGAATAACTATGACACCACTTGCTATAAAACTAAAATTCTTTAATAAACAAATTTTTAATCTATTCTATCAAAAGAACAGCAGATAGCACTTAAAATAATGGTATGCCTCACAATATACTTTTTTCTAAACATATTTGTATGAAACTTATATCAAGATAATAGTAATTTAAAAACCTACCTAAGATTTTAACCCTTTCCAATGTTATAGTTAAAACTTATGAAAATAAAGAGAGAAATTAAAGTGCTTTTCAAATAGTGTGAAAGGCATTAAAAACAACATACTCCTGTTTTTCTAATGTGGGGGGGTGGGGACTAAAGAACACTAGGAGTTGTAGAAGAAACTGACATGAGAGCAATGTTTTATGGTTCTACATTCCCCCGAGTTCTAAACACAACACTGGCACAAACAGTACACATCAATAAATGACTACTGAATGAATGAAATTAATGAGTGGGTTAATGTAAAGTACTGCATAATTTTGAAAGCTATAATGTTTGGAGAGTTGATAGTCACTATACCTACATGTCAGCTAAAACAGGTGAGATGTATTACCCAAACTCAGTCAACAGTACTATTCAGTAATGAACAATATTTTCCTTTTGATTAGTAAATTGAAGCAATGACACCCTAAGCCTCAGAATTAGTAAAGTATTCTAAAGTACCACTTTCTAAAGTAGTTTACTTTCATAGAATAGCTTATGTGTACCCCAAATGTCATACTCAACTCAATTATTACTTCCAAAAATTAATACACAATAGTTTTAACCTTTATCTAATTCCTCTTAACGATGCAAATAATCTTTAAAAACAGGATCACTCAATATTCTTATCACATGTTAATCTGCTAGTTAGATTATCGTCATCATTTACTTCAACAATTACTTCATTGGCTAAATGTATTTAATAACTGATACTCAATCACCAGTTGAGTAAATTAATAACTGTCCTTAAGTTTTTCAAATAAGATACACATTGGCTATCTGGTAAAGAACTTGGGCGCTGTTACGCAGGATTGCGTGAAGTTTCAGGAAACAGTCCAAAGCCTCATCTAGCCGGTTCAGCTTCTTATAGGTAAGACCTTAGAAAACAGAAAAAGAAAAAACGAAAAAAAAACAAAACTATAAGCATTATTACTGGAATTCATTTACTCAAAGTAACAGAATCCATCTTTAAATATATGTAAGTACTCATCCAGAAGAGAATATGAAGATAAACTGAGGATGTTTTAAAAGAACAGTGGCAGTGGGGGTTCTCCTTTGGCAGACACCGAAACATGCTACAAAGCATCAGTGATTTTAAAAATGTGTATGAGTTTGCGGGGGGGTGGGATGGGGAGGGTAGGAACTGACAAGCAGATCAACAGAATAGAATAAACAGGTCAGAAATTGACTCAATTATAGAAATTGGCTAACGGGCATTTAAAATCAATGGGCAGGAAGGGACTGGTAATATCATGGTGCCAGAGAAACTGTAAATGAAGGGGGAAAAGTATACATTCTTATTTCATAAAAAATTAATTCAAAATTTATTTAAAAATTAAATAGAAAAAAACAAAGCTGTAAGAGCACGAAAAGAAAATATAGGAAGGGCCGGCCCGGTGGCGCACTGGATAGTGCGCCGCTTGGGAAGCGCGGCGGTGCTCC